AGTATTCGGCTCTCCTTTAAATATCGGTCGCTAGCTGGAAGGCGACGGTCGTTTAGTCGGAGTTCACTTCCTTGGCTGCAGTGCAAATACGGAGTGGACAAGTCACGATTCAGAAACATACATACACACCCAAACAATTGAGGGACTGTGGATGCTACTCAAAAGGACAATTCGCCATCAATTAGGCACTAGCCGCGCGCTATTGTTGTCATATTTAGGAGACTTTCAGTGACGCCACTCCCACAAGCAGCACATTGTCGGCCATTATTTGAAACTCCTGCGTCAAAATGTTCACATATAGCAGCCGTTATTATGGGTAAGTACTCGACGCTACATGTGTTACCATAATCCAAACCCTTACCCAAGCCCTAACCCTAACCCAAACCCTAACCCTAACACCTAACCCCAAACCCTAAGCCTAGCCTAACCCTAAGCAACCGTAGCATGACAGGTAAGTATGTCATTTGTTTCGTTCCCTCTTTACCACTCCGTATTTGCACAAAGCGACCGTCGCCTTACAGCTAGCGACCGTTGTTTAAAGGAGAGCCAAGTATTCTAATATTTAAAAAATAATTGCTGGCAATGACTCGCATGTCGTAAATTTTATGGGAAGAAAGTCGAGTTTTTTTTTTTTTTAGTTTGAGACTTAAGAAATGGGACAAGGAAAAAACACAAATGTTACACCGCACACCACAGAGATGTACCTTGCAGATTTAATTCAGATATTCGGAGTAAACTGTAAAATGATCTAGATAAAAGACTTTTTTCGTTCACCTTACAGAGGCATTATTTGCTGGCGGGTCTACAGACAAGCATTTAAAGAAAAACTCACAGCCGGTGGTATTTTTTCCTAAACTGTCCTTATGTGTAACTAACTGTAAAGGAGAACATACAGTTTGCGGCCGTTCACTGTTGCTTTGAACAAGGGGAGTTTGGAGATAAAAAAGTTACTATAAATCTAGCTATGTTTATTGCAGTGCATTGTGAAGTACCTATCCGATCAGCCACTTGGAGGTCATAAAGGATCGCACAAAGCAGTTAGAGCGTTGGGTGGGTGGGGCATTACTCTGAACTCTACAACCAATCACGTGAGCTTGATGCTATAAACGCAATTGAGTGTCTGTCTACAATGGACGAACTGGACTGGAGCCTACCATCACAGAAATTAGCGGAGCTCTGGGTGGGGTTCCCATCGGCCAGTGCTGAATGTATGCATAAGCTAGCTAAGCTATACCTTAGTGTCCCACAATTAGCAGGAGCCTAACCCAAGAGGCCAAACGCAGCAAGCAATAGAGAAAGACATCTGAAAGAAAACCTGGCTCTTTGCAATAGAGTATTCATGTTTCTATGTGGTCTATATGACAGAGACTGTCGCTACTTCACTGGACCTTACTGTCGCAGCAGACGCAGTTTCCGAAACTAGCAACAAAGCTCCTTAATCCCCAGCAAAGGGGAAGGGGGGGGGGGGTTGTATCTGTACGGACTTATTGGTTATTTTTTAACAACAGCATACTTCATTGCGCAGCTTTACAGTGGTGTGTGTGTGTGTATATGTGTGTGTGTGTGTGTGTGTGAGAGAGAGAGAGAGAGAGAGAGAGAGAGAGATCTTATAATTTAATACTCCTTGCCGATATAATAAACCATTTACACACTCTCAGTTTTGCACAAATAGGGAAAAAAATTAGATTGTGAGATTTTTTTTTCCAATTTTACACAAACAAATCTCCTGCTCTAAAAATAAAAATAAAAACTTGAAAGTTTTTAGAAAAAATACTTCGCCAAGTCGCATCACCAATTTTTTTTTTCTGTCTCAAAAAGGGAGTAATTGCGTTCTCAGATATTGAAATAAACGAACTAATAGCTAGAAGAATACGAAACTAAATTACACGGACTGCTTGAGAGTTCTCTGGACAGACTGAGGACTTGGATTTCCTGATGAAAATGTTGGTGGTTGATGTGATCAATTGAGGCCTTCCACTTCTTGAAGCTCCTCTTAGAGACTCATCCGCTGTGGATGTGAACAAAATATAATTACAAGAGAATCGGGATTCAAAGACAAATACATAAAGGTAACCACTTACTATATTTCCCCAGGAATGAGACGCACCTGTTTTCCAAAATAAAAAATTAAAAAACACTGTGCGTCTTATACAATAGTAGTAGATTTTTACAGAGCCTAATTTGTGAATGCCGGTTTAGGGGCAAAACAAGTTGCCGTGAGAGGCGAATGGAACCAGTTGATGAAGCCTTCTGGGAACAATATTGCACCAGTATTTAGGATGAAGAAGCTATCTATATGTGAAGTTTGTATCTCGGTTAAAAGATCCTGGGATGTGAAGATTGAAATCCTTACCAGGTCGTTCAAGAAGTGAGGAAATTCAAAAGCCACAGCTGGAACTGAGGATGAGGCAATATATGATGACAGTAATTCTTTATCAGACTCAGATAAGGACAAGCTAAGAAATATTATATGGATGAGAGTTTTAACGGGGATGAAGAATTTCTGGATACTATGATGAATAAAACTAACTTTATGCAATCATACTGATTTTTCCAAATCTCTCTCTCTCTCTCTCTCTCTCTCTCTCTCTCTCTCTCTCTCTCTCTCTCTCTCTCTCTCTCTCTCTCTCTCTGTGTGTGTGTGTGTGTGTCTTGTTGTACACCCCCCCCCCCCTCAGGAAATCACACAAGCAATAAACACCCGGTGATACAAAGTGCCACCATGCGGATGAGGATCATCCGTGGAGAGGTCTCAGAAACCCCTTTCAGCCGTTAGGTCACAACTATGTCCCGGCTATACTCAGGGCCGCCGGCAAAAGCCAGGGTGAGGCTTCAATTAACCACACACAAAAATGCGGTCCGATACTGGGGCGGTAAATGAAATTAATTTCGTCACAAAATAAATACTATGACGATTGTAATCAGCATTGACATGTGTGCCTTGAAACTAAACTAAAGGCAACTAATACAGGCTTGTCTTCTTACAGGCCATGCAAAAGGCGTTGCTAACCTTCTGCCCCACCCCCTCCCCCCCCCCCCCTAAAGAAAAATCCACTGCGGTCCCTCCCCTTCCCCACCTCCTGCCGAAAATGTTGGGCTAAGTCGTCTCCATTAACCATGAACAGACGTCTTTAAAAAAAAAAGTATTTGTACACTTTATATTAATTCGAACATTTTACACTTATTTTCAGTTCAGCGCAGAATAATACTATCAACAATAAAAATGTTATCAGTAATAATAATAATAGTAACAATAATGCACACTCCAACAAGGCTTAAGCTCCCTTCTGTCCCTAGAAGATTATAAGGGAATTGAACCCTTCCCCTCCCCATATTCTCCTTGTGTCGGCACCCTTTGTGTATTATCACTAGTTTAAAGTACAAACGTTATACCAAATTGTCCGGCATCTTTCTTCTCATTTGGCCTTGTTTTCCTAACATCTCCTCCAACCGCCCTGTTTGCACAGCGTGTTCCAGTTTTCCCCCTTTCTACAGGGAGACCAAAGAATTCCTGTTTTACAGACAATGTATTGATCTGCACTCAAAGAAAGAAGTAGAAAAATAGAAAAACACCTAGACAACATAAAAATCGAAAGCTATAGTTCCGTGCCGGGAATCGAACCTGTCACCTCCAGACGGCGTGTGTGCCTCGCTATGGAAACAAGTGTACTAAGAACATGGTCAACCAGCCACCCCCTCCCCCCAAATGGTGTCTAATTGGTCATGTACAGCTTGAAATCCACAACTATGGAATACGGACAGAATTCATTTCACACCGTAGGCTACAGAAATGTATATTAGCGAAGCATAGGTCAAACAACAAGCACAGCAGCACACTTTACGAGCACAGTAAACCGTAATACTTTGTCTAGAGTACACACATATTTCAGAAAGGTATTTGATTGGTAGGTTCAATATGTTTTAATGATTCACCTACATAATCGCATTGTTCCAGCATCCACATAATTTTTCCATGAACAATTGATTATCCGTGATTGACTTTCGCAGACTTGAAATTTTTCTATATAGCTTTTGTGTACTCGCTTTCTCGCTACAATAGATCAAGATCTCCCATTTGCTAGAGACGTGAGCACGTCATATCCCTAAAGACTGCACGTTCTTATCGCAGCCAACCCCCACTGTGTAGACGGCCCCAGCTAGTGAGAGTACAGCGGGATCTGCTCTGAAGGGTGCAGGTGTCTCGACCATCTATGTGGTACGCCCAAGCTCACCCCCACTGTGTAGACGGTCCCAGCTAGTGAGAGTACAGCGGGATCTGCTCTCTGTCTCGACCATCTATGTGGTACGCCCAAGCTCACCCCCACTGTGTAGACGGTCCCAGCTAGTGAGAGTACAGCGGGATCTGCTCTGAAGGGTGCAGCTGTCTCGACCATCTATGTGGTACGCCCCACTGTGTAGACGGCCCCAGCTAGTGAGAGTACAGCGGGATCTGCTCTGAAGGGTGCAGCTGTCTCCACCATCTATGTGGTACGCCCAAGCGCACCGCCACAGAAAAACATTAGGGTTGTTTAGCCACCGCGCCACCCCTTCTCCCCTTTTCCCAGTTTTAAAAATGTATTTCAATATGGCCGAAATATTTCATATGTCTCCTTCTATTTTTTTTTTTTTCAATAACTACCTTTTCATCCCGTCTCCTAAGAGCATTTGCATTTGATTGTTTTTGTTTCCATGCAATGAAATACCACATATTCCTCAATATATCCACATTTCTGGAGACTCAGTTTGACTTTCTAATTATTTTTCCATTATCCAGGGTTCTGCACAATACAGTAGGGTTGCGTATACATAAAATTTAACAATTCTGATTTGTAATGTGTTGAATGTCACTCTAGACTAATAATTTTCTCACGTTCTTGAAGATCAGTTTGGCTATTGTTAGTTTTTTGCTTGTAACATATTCTATAGTACGTGAAATTAAACATGACAACGCCTTACCGTTTGAACCTTCCACTTTGTTGGCAATAGTTGCACCCAGGATACTAGGTGACGCCGAAGCTGGTCCTCTTATGAACTTGACTGGGACTATTCAATCCGCTGTTCTCCTGTATCACATCCCTGACCCCATCACTTGTACTTATATTTAGAAGGCTTTGTCTGTTTATAAAATGTGAAAACACATCTACAGGTTCGATGTATTTCTCCATCCCGCTGTGTCTTTGGAGAAGAACAGGCCAAAGTTTGAGAAAGAGACTTAATTTTTTCACATGGAATATCATGAGTTCTTTAGGATCCATTCTTGAGTCTCTCTTCAGCGAGGTTGTAATTCAACAAGTAGGCAGAATTCAGGCGTGTGTGCTGTATCTTCAGCTTATTCACCAACATACCGGTAACATAATAATCGTCAATCCAGAAGAAGGGAGTCTGCAGGGCTGTGTGGTAGAGGGTTTGGATTAAATCTCCGCTTAATAGAAATGCGGAACCTGAACAGTAGGTGGGAAAATAATCGTCTGGAAACTCCTGTCTAGACACAAACCACTTGGACTTGGAGTCGCGGATGACCTTCATTCTCGACCAGACGTTACATAGAACCAGCTGTGTGTGGGATTCACGAGCTGGGAGTACTCTTGTGTACAAGTGTTCCATGAAAGATATGATGTCTAACAGTATATCATCGTCCGTTTTTAACAAAAAATTCGTCTTTGCACAGAAATGTCCAGCCCACCTGAGCCCGGCCAGACCTTTATATGTCAGATTCCTGTATGAATCCATAAAATTCTCTTGCAGAATATCCCCGTACTGTGTAGCTTCCATGTCTATCAGATTCTGAATAGAAGGATCTAGGGCACGACCTAACACAAACATTACTGTCGCATTGTAAAGTGAGAGCAGTTTAGGGTGTCCCCAGGTCTGGCGAACTGCTTGTCGTTTCTTGAGATTTTCAGGCGCAGAATGAATGTAAATCAGAAACGTTATATTTCCTTCACATATCTGGTACGGGTTGTGTATATAGTCGAAATTATGACTATTGATGTTATTCGCATCTTTTGACATGTCAGCGTCGGCATTAGTTGAAAGAATGGCATTCTTGTCAAACGTTCCCATTACAATTTCGTGAAAAAGTAGTCCATTTTTCCTGAAAGATGAATACAGTGGTTTTTGAATCTCTGATAATGGTTGCTTACTGTCATGATATGGATGAAGTAGAAATCCCGACGTGTAGCTGATATCCCCTGTACTTTTGAATTTCATGTGTGGTCCAAATCGTACGATGTAATCCTTGCCTAACATGTCCAGAGATACCACATACATGGCTGTGGCCACAAAGATTGTGACACATAAGAAGATGATGAGGCGGCAGAGGCGGGAAGGGCGTGGGAACATTCTATTTTGTGCAATGTCATTGAAAGCTCCAGTTTTGAACTAGTAACGACAGCTCATTGTGTTGAATATTGATACGAGGCATTTCAGTTTTTGAAGTTTAAGTTTCAACAACTGATCAACATCATGGCACAAGGGTAGTAGTAACACATAAGTGCTCCGTTCTACTTCTAACTCAAGCTTGAGTCCGAAGACATTTTCGGAGTGAATATCACAATGCAAACTGAGGTAATATTTGCCATTACATCATAAAAAATCACACATTCTTGAATACAGAGGTGTTGTAGGCTATTATTGCACAACTAGGCTGTAAACTAGCGCAATGTAGTTACGCCTGGTCCACGCAAGAGATCTGTATCATGGGTAATCTAAGGTTAAACACCTCAGTTCTAGCCATGGCTGCTGGAAAGTTACAGAGGAGCAGACGCCAGGAAAATAAACAAGAGCTGTCAATCCCATTTAAATTGGTTGTCTTGACAAGGAATGCTGGAACTTTGCTGATGGTCCGCAGTCTGTGCCTGTTGAGACACAACAATGTAATTAGCCGTACTACAGAGAAACTCACAAGACAACACAGTGTTTCCCAGTCAGAAAAACTTGCAGACCCATTTTTTTTTTTTTAATTTTCGAAGGCCTATCACAGATCCATACTAAATAGTCATATTATAGGAGGGGAAGAGGTGTAAATCTTTTTTTTTTTTTTTAAGAATCATGAACAAGGAGGGTTAAATTACATCATGGAGAATAAAATGTGATCCGCTGAAAGGTAACCACTGCTTAACACATGTTTACATAGTTCTTTTGTTATCATAAGCCGTGTTAACCAAGAGTAAGTCAATGCCTTCGTCTTCTTCATCATCATCTTCATCATCATCTTCTTCTGCTTCTTCTTCTTCTTCTTCTTCTTCTTCTTCTTCTTCTTCTTCTTCTTCTTCTTCTTCTTCTTCTTCTTCTTCTTCTTCTTCTTCTTCTTCTTCTTCTTCTTCTTCTCCTTCTTCTTCTTCTCCTCCTCCTCCTCCTCATCCTTTGTTCTTCTAAGCTCCGGCGGAAAGTACTGGCTGTTCGTTCATTTAGATTTTATATTCGTGCTGAGTTTTTGTGTACATGCGCTTTACTGGCTTATTTGTGTTCAGCTGGTTGTTCCTTGCCGCTCAGGTAAATGCACTCCGACTTCGAAAGAAGCTCCCAATTAATCGACTCCTACGACATGCATGTTAGAGAAGGCAGTGGGTCTATTCTAGTTTCCCCACACGGGGATAATTCAAAGTAAAATGGTTCTTTTTGACACCATGAGGCGACTGGGTGTTAGTGCTAGCCTCACCTTGCTATAAACCAGTCGGCACTCAGGTGGTGGACCTCAACAATGTCACACCTATCACCTTTACTCTTTCAAACATGTTATGATACAAAAAGAGACTGATCCTCTTAGATACATGGTCATTTGTTACACTCCTTGGCTGTGCTTTTATCGAATACTAGCCCGTCAAATCGGTAGGCAAGTGTTCTAACAACTCAACCTCAGGATTTAGGGCCGCATTGTTCGAGCAGTCGTCATGATTGTACAGGTTAAGATGTATTTTTGCACTGACAGAAAAAAAAAGGAAAAAAAAAACGATTTTGCGAGGATTTAAACCTGGGTCTCCCGCATGGGAGCCAGGGTTCTTGACCGTTCGGCCAGCCACTCATCTCTGACACGTTCAAAGCTTAAAAAGATATTTCATTTTTGTGCCAGGGCGTACAAGTGTAAGAGGACATGAATGATCTCACAGACCTGCAGGCAGAGCTAGTGTAAAGGCTGAAAGAGCAGCACAAGTCAAGTACACGACTTTTTTCACGTCAGTGGCGCATCGGGCAAATGATACTGGCAAATAAACAGAGAAGGCCGTGGCAAATAAACAGAGAAGGCCGTGGCAAATAAATAGAGAAGGCTGTGGCAAAAAAATAGAGAAGGCCGTGGCAAATAAATAGAGAAGGCCGTGGCAAATAAATAGAGAAGGCCGTGGCAAAACGTTACCTGGTATCCATTTTAGCTTGGGTCAGTCTGGCAGCCAAAGTCATTCTTCTTCTTCTGCCTTTCTATCCCCCAATGGAGCATAGGCCCTCAACCAACTCACGCCAAGTCGTTCTATCCTTCGCCATTGCATGGAGCTCTCCCCATGTCCTCCCAATCTTTCTAACCTCATTCTCCAGCTCTCTTCTCCATGTGTTTTTTGGCTTTCCTTTATTCCTATGCCCCTGTGGGTTCCAATGCAAAGACATTCTAGTTATGCTGTTCTCCTGTTTTCTCAGTGTGTGCCCTATCCAACACCAGCGTCTTTTCCTCACCTCTTGATCCACTGGAGCCTGTTTAGTTCTCTCCCAAAGTTCTACATTAGTTATTATATCATACCATTTTATTCCCTCTATTCTGCGCAGGCACCAGGTAATGAATGTCTGTAATTTATTTGTAATTGCCTTGGTTGTTCTCCATGTTTCCGCCCCATACAATAGTACTGATTTGACATTAGAATTAAAAATTTTTGGTTTAGTATTTCTTTTAATTTCTTTTGACCTCCACAAATTCCTTAGTGCTATGAAAGCCTATCTTGCCTTTTGTATTCTAATTTTAATATCTCTATCAGTTTCTCCATCTTTATCTATATTACTGCCTAAATAGGTGTACGACTCCACGTCCTGGAGTGGGGTGCCAATAAGAGAAACCACATTACTATTTGCCTGATTTATTCTCATTATCTTTGTCTTTCCTTTATGGATTTTCAGACCAAGCTGCTGTGATCTCGCATTAAGTATATTTAATTTATCTTGTATCTGATTCCGTGAATGGGACAGAAGAGCAATATCATCAGCGAAGTCCAGATCATCAAGCTGTTTTGTAGGGGTGCACTGAATTCCATTCTTGCCAAAGTCATATTTTAAAGAAAATAATGTGACTCGGTGTAGATTTGAACCCAAAACCTTAGGGTCGGAGCAGAACGTCTAGCCTCAATGGGACTGCATCTTCCCGATGAGCAAAAGATCAGATAATACTCTGAATGCTACACAGTGGTTGCAAATTGGTGGTCTGTAAATCTAAGGTGTCTGTGATACAAATTACAAATACTTCATACCTCTATTATGTCATTCTAATATGTATTTACAACGAATCCAAAAAAAGTTATTTTTTTTTAAAGAACTGAAGGCTGTAAAACGAGAACATCAACAAAGCATTAATAATTTTAAAGATCACATTGGGAAAATGATAAAAAATTATGAGGAAATATGTAACAAATAAAAGAAATACTTTACTGAATTGTTAAACTGTGAAACTCCACTTAATACCTATCCACAGGAAGAGATATTAACATGTGAACCAAATATTGAAGAGCCTGATTTTGAAGAACTACTGTATGTCATAACAAGGTTTAAAAACAATAAAGAATTGCAGCTGAACTTTCAAAAGAAGGTGGTCATTGCATTACATGTAAAGAGATATGAATTAATAAAACTAGTTTGGAGGACGGAGAAATTACTCCATGAATGGAAAGTGTCTTTATTAATACCCATTTTAAAGAAAGGAGGCAAGTATGAGTGTGAAAACTATAGAGGAATATCACTATTATCAACAAGCTATTAGATACCTATCGTCGGTATGCTAAACAGGCTAAAACCATATGTTGAAGACATTTTGGAAGATTACCAAACAGGTTTCAGGCAAAACAAATTAACAATAGATCAGATTTTCATTTTACGGCAAATAGGAGAGCAAAATTGGGAATATAGAAAAGATGTACATAGTGTTTTTGTGGATTTAAAAAGGAGTATATGATAGTGTACACAGAAATAGTTTATAGAATGCTATGAAGGACTTTGGAATACCAAAGAAGTTAATTACCATGACAAAACTATGTATGAAAGATACTTGTAATATAGTAAGATATAAAGGCAGAAAGTCAGACCCTTTTCAAATAACATCTGGTTTAAAGCAAGGTGATTCTCTGTCACCATTTCTTTTTAACTTGGCCCTAGAGAAAATTATAGGGAAATTGAAACAACAGTGTACTAAAAGAGAAACTACAAGAACACTTGGATATGCAGATGACATTGATATCGTTAGAGAAAATGAACCAGAGGCTGTTTAAACAATGACTGTCTGAAAAGAATCAGCTTAGAAAATAGGACTAGTTATCAATCAAGATAAGACAGAATATATGATAATAATTAGACAGGGTAAGGATATAAACTCCGACCACATAAAAGTCGATAATATAACAATCAAACGAACGGAAACAAATAAGTACTTGTGTGCAAACTTTCAACTGCTCCAATATGCTGAGAGAGGAAATACAATCTATAATACAATCTTGAAATAAAGTATACTAGGCCCTTCAACATCTGCTAAAGTCAAAGTGTCTGCCTGTCGTGAAATGATAGCCATTACGCATCGGTCTGTAAGGCTGATAACCTGACTTACCTGTAATCTTATACAAAATTCAAACTTGGACTCGCCCAGAAATATATAGTCCCTTATATCTATATATATATGGCCTTTTGGACAACATTATTATGTCTACCTTTTCTGGGTACTTTAACTAAACTCCAATTTTAAATGTATATATCTTCGATATATATGAAGGGAGTTATTTGAGGGTTTCGTGGAAAACCGATTTACTCCTTGCTCATGTATACTAGGGACTTCTTTTTGCACCAACATGAAGTGTCTAAGTGACGCTATTCTCCTTGCCAGCTTCCTAGTCCAGACGTGTAATCTATGCCTGAAATTTTTCGAGGCGATCTGGAATACTCAGTTTTTAATAGCTTGGGTAAGTTAAATATAGTTTACGAGTACCTAAAAATGATGTCTGTAAAGTAGTCACTGCTGTAGAGAGATGAGTATCGGCTGTGTGATCACACTTAGTTCGACCGTTCTTGATCGCTAGAGAAGATTCGAACGTAGACCTTCCCCTGTACAGTCTAAATAGCTTATGCCCTCAATAAAAACCACCATATTGGTAAAACTTAATACC